GATCCTTCCCTTCTCCAGGGGAACATTCCCAGCTCCCCAGCCATGGATTGGACATTCTGGAGCATTCCAGCCATCCTGGCTTCAATCAGGGCCAGCCTGGAGCTGAACTTCCATGGAAAACATGGAAGTGCAGGGGGAGAGGAGGAGCCTGAGAGCCGGAACCCCCCTGGATCAGGGGCTGACCCCCGGCTGTGTCCCGGTTTTCCCAGGCTGGTTGCAGCTCTCAGCCTTCTGTCACATCAGGATATCCCGGTTTTCCTGAGAAAAGTGGGATGAGCCAGCTGCTACCCCTGTGTTTGGAGTGACGCTGGATCCCTGTGAGCATCCCAGGCCAGGTTGGACACAGTGGGAGGTGTCCCTGCCATGATTTCCCCTGTGACCCAAAGCGTTCCATCAATCCCTCTGGAAGAGGAGGAGAGTGTGGGAATCCTTTTCCCTGCAGCAGCAGATCCTGGCTCAGTCCTACAGGAGCAGAGGGTGAGCGCTGTGGGGTTTTGTGTCCAGTCCTAATCGGGCTTTGCTCTTCCCTTCTTGGGCCTTAAACCACAATTCCCAATTAGCTCCATTAGCAGAAATCCATCGGATTTTGCCGTGTGATGCATTTTTAGCTGGTGTTTTGGAGCTTTTACAGATAAACTGCAGGTTTGAGGTGGATCAATGCCCAAAAATGCACAGGGAAGAGCCCCTGCCTCAGCCCCAGGGTTTTAACCTGCAGGGCAGGAGCTCTTCCGAAGGAAAAAGTTAAAAACCTGGCAAAAAGAAGGATATTTGTGCATTTTGGCCAGGAATTCCTGCTGGAGATTCCTCTTCCTCCCCATCCTAGGACACAGAGATGCCCTTTTTGTGGCTGCTGGGAGCAGGTGCTGCTGAGTCTCTGTAATTCCCAATAAATTCCCTCTTTCCCCATGGGTGAGGATGAGCTTTTCCCTGTTGGGAAGGACACCCGGTGTCCCTGTGTCCAGCAAACTGCGCTCCAACAGCTCTGAAGGTGAAATTCCCAACATTCCTTTGGAGAGGGAAAATTTTGGGTGCCAAAATTGCTTCTGAGGCCTCTCCCAGAGCAGGGAGGGGGTTTGTAAAAATCTGATTAACGATCCGTGATTCCTCAGGCAGCGGCCAACCTCGGGAATAATCAAATGGGATAAATAACAGGGCTGGGATTCTTTTCAAGGCAATTTATGATGAGCTCTAGGAAACAGCCGGCTCCATCTGGGTCCTTTGGAAATTTGGAAGTAATTGGAGGATTATTAGAGGCTGGAATTAGTCAAAGCATTTATTTACGGCTTTTTTTTTTTTTTGGCCTCCATCTGCCCCCTCATTAATCCGGGGATGCAGCTCCGAGCTGGGCTGACAGCGAGTCACAGGATCATGGAATGCCTTGGAATGGAAAGGAAATTAAGGATCATCCTTAATTGGATGGTTGGGACACCTTCCACTACCCCAGGCTGCTCCAAGACCCATCCAAGTGGCCTTGGACACTTTTAGGGATGGGGCAGCCACAGCCCCTCTGGATTCCCTGTAGGCACAACAAGCATTCCCTGGTTTGGAAGCGATGGAGAGGGGTTTTGTTGGATATTTTGGGATATTTCTCCCGGAATCTGTGTGCTGTTGTACCTGTTCAGGTGGGGTTTGTGTGCGGGCAGAGCTCTGCTGGCTCGGCGAGGGGGGCTGAGCTGGGAGCAGGGAACAAAACGCTCCAAAGCCTTTTCCTTTGACAAACGGCTCCTTAATTCCATAATAAATAATTCCGCTCCAGGCAGCCTGTTTGCTTCTAAGCCAGAGCTGGGAATTTATCCTGGAAATGAATATAAACCGTGTGGGGAACTCGGGAAGGCGGGAGCAGGCCCCTGATGGGGGTGGGGGTGTCGGGTCCTGCTCAGGGGGAACCCTGAGGGGAAAAAAGCTCAGAAAATGAGAACCCACCCATACCGACAGCAGGAACTGAAAACTGGGAGCCAGGAGGGATATCCATGAGCAAAATGAATGGAATGTAGTCCTGGGGTGGTTGGCAGGAGGGCTGGCAGAGGTGGGGAGCGGGCAACTGATCCCGCTGTTTCTGTGGGATAACATGGAAATACTCGGGAATTTGGGGTTTGGTGCTTTCCAGGAGGGGTGGTGGGGACACAGGTCCTGGTGTGGGATGGAGCCCCTCTGCTCTGGAGCCCAGCTGGGAGAGCTGGGAATGTTCCCCTGGAGAAGGGAAGGATCCAGGGAGAGCTGGGAATGTTCCCCTGGAGAAGGGAAGGATCCAGGGAGAGCTGGGAATGTTCCCCTGGAGAAGGGAAGGATGCAGGGAGAGCTCCGAGCCCCTTGCAGGGCCTGAAGGGGCTCCAGGAGAGCTGGAGAGGGACTGGGGACAAGGGATGGAGGGACAGGAGCCAGGGAATGGCTCCCAGTACCAGAGGGCAGGGATGGGTGGGATATTGGGAATTGGGAATTCCTGGCTGGGAGGGTGGGGAGGGGCTGGGCTGGAATTCCCAGAGCAGCTGTGGCTGCCCCTGGATCCCTGGAATGCCCCAGGCCAGGCTGGATGGGGTTTGGAGCAGCCTGGGACAGTGGGAGGTGTCCCTGCCCATGGCAGGGCTGGGATGGGATTTAAGATCCATTCCCATCCCAACCATTCTGGAATCCTGGTGTTGCTGGAATACAAGTGTGGAACAGCAGAACAACACCAGGAGCTCAGAGCCAGGGCTGAGGCGTTGCTGAGAGAACAGAACACAAAGGAAAAGCTGGAAAACACAGCAGAGCTGGAAGAAAAGCTGGGAATTGATTTCTTGTCCTGGCCATGGCAGCACCTCTCAGCAGTGTCCGTCGGCTGACACATATTCCCAAAAATGTTGGGAATATCGGCTCTTTTTGTGCCCTTGGGTTTGCTGGGGAGGGAGAGAAATGGATTTGAAGGACAAATGATATTCCTGCAAGTATTTTTCCCTCCAGTGAGCTGGTGTGGGAACGAGACAGAATCTGCGGCTGATTTTCCCGAGATTCTGCTGATACGTTTTTCCATGGTAATAGTGGGCACAAAATTCCTCCTTGGAAAAGCCTGTGGGAGAGGCAGGACCATGGGGCAGGAGGTGGAAATAGCCCTTGGGACATTGCCATGGGATTTGCTGGGATGGGAATGTGGATGTGGATGCAGATGGGGACAGGGATTTGAATGGGAGTTTGGATGGGAATGGGAATGCAGATGGATCTGGGTCTGGAGATGTGGATGCAGAAGGGGATGTGGGTGGGGATGCAGATGCCAATGTGGATGCAGATGTGGATGGGGATGGAGGTGTGGATGGGGATACAGATATGGATAGGGATGCAGATGCAGATGTGGATGAGTATACAGATGTGGTACGGATGCAGATGTGAATGAGGATTCAGATGTGGAATCCCACATTCAGTCCCTGAGGAGGTGCCAGTCGGAGTCAGGGCTGAGGCCCAGGAGGGGAAGCTCTGGGAGCTGCTGCTGAAGCCACTCCTGAGCAGCTGCAGAGTGAGGGCACAGCTGGAAGAGGAGCTCTCCCAAACTGCCCTTTCCCTCAGAATCGCAGCTTTTCCCTAAAGCCTTCAAGAATGGGATTGCTTCCACTGCACTCCATGAACAGGAGCACCTGGCTCTGGGTGGAAATCCCCTGGGAACTACAGAACACGTCCTGGGTGAGGCTGTGGGATGGCTCCAGGTGTGCTCCTGCAGATGTGAGGCCTCCCTGGCAGCGGGAGCAGCATCCAGCGCTAAAATCCCTGGATTCACACTTTCCTCCCAAGAGATAAAGTGGGAAACAGAGTTCTGTCTTGTGGCCAGCAGAAAACCAACACCAATTCCATCAGCAGTAGCATGAGGTGGGATAAACTGGAATTTTCCTGGCTGTGTGTCACGTTCCATCCCACTCCCTCTCGCTGCAGCCCCGCTGTTGTTTTTCCTGTGCCTTCCCAAGTTCCTTCCCTTTGCTCCTGGCTCCTGGTGAGCCAGGCAGGGGATGTGTTTGCAGAGGTGGATGGAGCTTCCTGAAATCCAAATGTCACATTTCCACTTGGAGGAGCGAGTGGCAGCGTAATTCTATTTACAGATTTCTGCAGAGAGTGGTTAAAAATAATGGTAATAATAATAACGAGGATAAAAAAAGAGCAGGATTTCTTCTGGAAACTTCCAGAGCATCATCTCCCTCTGATTCCCAGGGGTCACCAGGGTGGCTAGGTCTGGTGCTTGAGGGGACTTTATGGTGGGAGGAAGAGGAAGGGCAGTGTTGTGCCTTAGTCATGGATTTTATTCCCTGTTAATGTTTCGGAGCTGGATCCCGGCCCGGCAGCGATGGATGTGGGAGCAGATTGCTGGGGAGGCCTTTGAGGAGGAATAAATGAATTTGTAGGACTGGCTGCTGGGTTGGGATGTGCTGGTGAGGGGCTGGTTTTGTGTGTGTTCGTGGATATGATGGACACATGAGATAACTCAGGAATGCTTTAGGAGCTCACAAGTCCCGTTCACCCCTGCAGCTCCTGCTTCGGTCCCAGGGCCCTCAGACAGCCCCAGTGTCCCTTTGGCAGCAGCACCTTCACAAAGGGCCTGCAAATGTAGGTGGGAATTCCTCAGTTCCACCTCTTCCATGGATGCTGGCTCCTTTCCCCTCGGGAATGACGATTTAACAGCTGTAGGATCCTAAAACCACGGAATCCTTACGGTTGGAAAAGACCTTTGAGGCCACCAAGTCCAACCATCGGGCAGCGCTACTGCCCCACATCCCCAGGTGCCACATCCACAGGGCTTCAAAGTCCCTGCAGGGCTGGGGACTCCACCACAGCCCTGGACAACCCTTTCCATGAAGGAACTTCCCCTCATAGCAAACTAAACCTCCCCTGGTGCATCATTTCCTCCAAACAAGGGCAGGCCAGTGCTTTTTATTTTTAATATATATTTAAACCCGTGGAATTAATTCCATGGAATTGCTCCAGGATTTCTGTGCATCCCAAATTTCCTGGAACTGGTGGAAGCTTTTCCTCCCTTCTCCTTGCAGGGATGACGTGCCAAGCCAGGACATCCTACACGGAGGACGAGGTGCTCTGGGGCCATCGCTTCTTCCCGGTGATCTCCTTGGAGGAAGGCTTCTTCAAAGTGGATTATTCCCAGTTCCACGCCACCTTCGAGGTGCCCACCCCGCCCTACAGCGTGAAGGAGCAGGAGGAGATGCTCCTCATGTCCTCGCCCCTGATCCCGCCCGCCGTCAGCAACAGCAAGGAGAGGAACAACTCGGTGGAGTGCCTGGATGGGCTCGACGAGGTGGGCACAAAGCTGCCCTCAAAACTGCAGAAAATCACCGGGAGGGACGACTTCCCGAAAAAACTGCTCAGGATGAGCTCCACCACCTCGGAGAAGGCCTACAGCATGGGCGATCTGCCCATGAAACTCCAGCGCATCAGCTCGGTGCCCGGCAACTCCGAGGAGAAACTGGGCTCTAAGACCACGAAGATGATGTCGGATCCCATGAGCCAGTCGGTGGCCGAGCTGCCCCCCAAGCTGCAGAAGCTCTCGGGGGGCGGGGGGAGGATGGAGGGGAACCTCCCGCCCAAACTGCGCAAAATGAATTCCGACCGCTTCACATAACGCGCCGGGCCCGGGGGATCCCACGCGGCCGGGACCGCGGGGCCAGCAGGGGCTGCCGGGGGCTCGGGGCCGCCGAGGAGCCGGGAGGGACTCGAGGGAGCCGGGAGGGACTCGAGGGAGTCGGGATGGACTCGGTGCTCCGGGAGACGGGAGCATCCCACGGGATTCTGAGCCAGGGCCGTGTCCTCGGCGTGTACGATCCCAGCGCATGCAATAATAGTGTGCAACCTCTGCATCTAGTCCGTGGCATGACTCCTCCTGTATTTATACTCTGTATCCCGAAAAACACGCAGAGGGGCCTTCCTTCCCCTGTATTCCCCAGGGAATGGGGCTGACACGGAGCGGGGAACTCGCAGGGTAAGTTGAACTTGAGTTGAAAGCGTTTGGGGTTTTTGTTTTTCCTGCTGTGGGTCGTGATTTGCTCACCCGAGTTGTTTGCTGCATGTGGTTTGTTTTTTTTTTCCCTCTAAGGAGGTGTTTTGGTTCACCCCTCACACTGAAGCTGCTCGCCTTAAATCCACTGCTGGGTTCTAGTTTGCTTTCAGGGATTTCTTTTTTTTTGGGGGGAGGGTTTTGTTCCCTGTGTCGAAGCCACCGGGAAAAACACTGGGGGTAAAAAAATAAATAAATCTGTATTTCATTAGGCTTTGTTTAGAGAAGAAACTTGTGTTCTTAAGCCTGGGCAAAGTGATAAATAAATGACTCAAGTTCACACTTTAGGTACAATTGGTAACATTTTCATAAAGTCTTCATGTGTGGAAGGAAATCAGCAGAACGTGCTGACTTTCTCCTGTTGCTGAAACATCCAACCATGAAGGAAGCTGTGTGTGCCCCTGGTGCCAAGCTGGCTCTCCCCTTGGAGGAACTGCACCCCAAAAGCAGAGCCCCGATCCCCCCGATCCCTCTGGGCCTGCCTTTCCCCTCCAGGGTGGTCCCAAGCCGGGCTCTTCGGTGGTGGGAGCCCTGCTGGACCTTGTTTTGAGCCGAAGGTCACCCTGGGTGCTGCGGGAGGCTGGATGAGGGTTGGAATGCTGGGGCTGATTCCTCTTTGCCCGCCTGGATTGGGATTTGTGCCGGGACCTGCGGGTGGTGGAACACCTCCCTGAAATCCACAGGGCTGAGGTGCCTGTGGAACCCCTGGGCTGTGTTTGGGGCCTTCCAGAGGCTCCTGGAGGAGGTTTGGGATAGACGGGTGGCACTGTCACAGCTTGGGCAGGGAAAGCACCCGGCAGCAGCCGGGAGCGGGGCTCCGAGTGCCTGAAACCCTTGGGATCACATCCAGCCGCTCCCAGCGCTGGAACATCCATGGCTGGGCACCTCTGGCTCCGAGTGCCTGAAACCCTTGGGATCACATCCAGCCACTCCCAGCGCTGGAGCATCCATGGCTGGGCTCTGGCTCCCAGCCCTTCCTGCAGCCGTGGATTGCTGGATAATTAATAACGGAGCGGGTTCTCAGGGAAAATTGGGATTTTATAGATGAGGACATGGAAGAAGGGCTTGGGAATCCAGCCCTGCTGGAGCTGGCATTTCCCTGGGAGTTTCAATGTGTGACTGTCACTGTATTCCCAAGGGCTTTGGACAATTCCCAGAGTTCCTTTCCGTGGTTTATCCTGATCTTACTCTTATTCTTTTCTTCTATTCTAATTCTATTATTTTCCTTATTCTATTTTGTTTTATAGCTTTTCCTTATTCTTGTTTATTCTAATGATTTTTCTTCTATTATTCTTCTTAACCCATTACTTCTCTATCCCTTATTTTATTCTTCAGTCTGTTTTTTATTCCTATTCCATTCTCATTCTGTTCTATTCTATTTTCTCTCCTACTTTATTTTATTCTAATCTCTTACTCTATTTTCTATTCTTAGTCTTGATCTATTTTTATTCTTATTCTCCTCTTAATATATTCTATTTCCTATTCTTATTCTTGAGCTTGTCTTGTTGTAGTCTATATTCATTCTATTCGAACTTTAATTCTATTCTGATTTTAATTTATTATTCTATTCTATTCTATTCTATTCTTTTTTCTCTTTTTTCTCTTTTTTCTATCATTTTTTCTCTCTTTTCTCTTTTTTCTTTTCTATTCTTTTTTATTTTTTCTCTTATTTTTTTCTCTTTTTTCTCCTTTTTCTCTTATTTTTTTAATTCTTTTTCTCTTTTTTCCCTTATTTTTTCTCTTCTTTTTTCTCTTTTTTTAACTCCTTTTTTCTCTTATTTTTCTCTTTTTTCTCTCCTTTTTCTCTTTCCCATATCCTATCCTATCCTATCCTATCCCATTTTATTCCACTGTATTTCCTGCCTCTGGCACAGCAGCCCAGGTGCAATTTGGGGTCCCCCAGGGGTATCTCCACAAATCCAATGGAAAACATTCCAGGGAGAAGAGCTGGAGCTGGGAAAAAAACCCTCTAAAACCGCCCTGGAAGTGGGACAAAAACTGGAAAAGGAGCCTCACTTAATCCAATTAATGCCATAAAAATCCGAAGTTTTACCTGGAATTTACCAGGGATTACCTGGAAAATTCTGATTTTTAAATGAAAATGTGCCAAAAAAAGCAAATATTAAGGGAATTATTGCTGTGGTAAAAACCAGTCTGGGTGCTGGAGGGGCCAGGGTTGTTGGGTTTTAAATCCATCCCTGCTGGATGCAGAATTCCCAAGGTTTGTGGCCGGGATTGAGGTACGAACACAGGCACCTGTCTGGATTCATTTATTTTAGGAACTTCCTCGTGTTCATATTTCATTTTTCTGGTGTGCTCATTTTATTTTAATTAATTAATGAACATCTGCAGCCGGCCCTTGCTTCTGCTCATTAAAAAGAACTGTAATTAATGAGGATTGATTGATTGATCGATTGCACAGCCGGTCTGTGTTCTCTCCTGCTGAATTCCCGCTTGAATTCTCCTGGAAATTGTAAATATTTCCATTAAAATAAAAGAGGAAATAAAATAAATGAAAGTGGTTTTGTCTCCCTGGGATTTAATGTGAATTTAGTCTTAGATTAAGGATTTGAGGAGAAATTTTAGTGCCGGCACCAACACTTGGGGAGGAAAAAAAAAATTTAAAAATTAAAAAACATTAATAATTATAATTAATATAAATATAGTAACAATAATATAAACATAAAATAGAAATATAATTTGTTGATAATAAATTATTAAATAATATATCACTATATAAGTAGAGTAATAATAAAGTCATAAAAATTAATAAGATTAACATTGTTATTATTAATAATAATAATAATAGTAATAATAATAATGGTAATAATAGTAATGATGTTATGTAATAAAGCCCCACTGATCGAGGTTTGCTCCCCATTCCCAAACTCCTGCATTTATTCCCAGCTCCGATGCTTTGGGGATTTGGGATCTGCATCCCTGGCCCCAATTAAAGGCAGGAGAAGATGGATGCAAGGCAGGGATGGGCCTGGAACAATCCATGGACACGGAATAAACCATGGATATGGAACAGTCCATGCATATGGAATAACCCATGGACAGGGAGCAATCCATGGACACAGAACAATCCATGGACATGGAATAACCCATGGACATGGAATAATCCATGGACACGGAATAATCCATAGATATGGAATAATCCATGGACACAGAACAATCCATGGACACGGAATAATCCATGGACACGGAATAATCCATGGACACAGAACAATCCATGGACACGGAATAATCCATGGACACGGTATAAACCATGGATATGGAACAGTCCATGCATATGGAATAACCCATGGGCAGGGAGCAATCCATGGACACAGAACAATCCATGGACATGGAATAACCCATGGACATGGAATAACCCATGGACATGGAATAATCCATGGACACGGAATAATCCATGGACACGGAATAAACCATGGATATGGAACAGTCCATGCATATGGAATAACCCATGGGCAGGGAGCAATCCATGGAAACAGAACAATCCATGGACATGGAATAACCCATGGACATGGAATAACCCATGGACATGGAATAATCCATGGACACAGAACAATCCATGGACATGGAATAACCCATGGGCAGGGAGCAATCCATGGACACAGAACAATCCATGGACATGGAATAACCCATGGACGTGGAATAATCCATGGACATGGAATAATCCAAGGACACGGAACAGGCCATGAACACGGAACAATCCAAGGACACGGGACAGGCCATGAACACGGAACAATCCAAGGACATGGGACAGGCCATGAACACGGAACAATCCAAGGACACAGGACAGGCTATGAACAC